GAAAATATTACATTAATGATTATAATTTTAATCTCAAATTTAATGACCCTAAGTTTTTGTGCTTAACTTTGTCTCTGTTAAATTCTAAAGAACTTGAGTTCTTTAAAACTGATGGTAATTTACGGACTAATATTTCCTATTAATCCATTAGTAAAACAATTTTATATGACTACAGATGAAATAATAATTCTATAAGAATGCTTATAACAAAATGTCATTTATGTGATTTTTCACAAATGTAATTTTCTCCCATTTGGGAGATTTTTAAAGTGGATTATTTCATAATAGTTTCTTTTGTTTTCCAGGATGTTTTTTAATTGTAAACATTAAGTTTTGTGATAAAGGACTTTATGTAACTGTGTGTTCTGGAAAATGTAACAATGCTTTATTTATTGATTTATGTAATATGTACTGGGACTCAATAATAAAGATGTGAAATCATAAAGGCTGCTTTTATCAGAGAGCCTGACATTTACAATCAAGAGTGCTTATTTCTCTTCCCATCTGTAAGGCACTGTGATATCAGGCAAATCTTTCTACTTCTCTGGGCCTCAGTTTCTTCATTTATGCTATGAGAATTATAATAAAAACCCTCCTCTACCTGTTCTGCAGGACTGTTGTGTAAAATGATAAAACCGTATTAAAATATTCATTATAATCTGATTTCTTTATAGGAGAATGTATGCATTTGAATGCTAGTACTTAGCAACTTCTGAAACATCATCTTAATTTCAGACTTGAGCTAAAAAATGTAATCTCTAAATCTTTTAACTAAATTCCATGAATCTTAACTTATTAGCTATTTTACTTATAGATTTCTAGAAGCAACACCATATTTACTTTGGTCAGGATGAAATTGTGCCCAATTTTCAAAGACTTGGTTTCTGAAACTCAGCCATGTGTTACACATTTTTTTAACACTAACTTCTGATTTTGAGTTTAGGAATCCTTAAAAATATATTATGCTGTAATTATGTGCTTCTGTTTCTTCTAAATGTGTGCAACTGAAAGTATAGTGTTGGGATCAAGCTACAGATCTTAATAAAAAACTCATGGAAGGTTGTCCAAGCAGCCCACAATAGGTTAGTTAGCAATGTATGTAAGACCAGCATCTCAGAAAAATGCTGTATGTTTTTTTTTTTTTAATCAAACCATGAGAAGTATATGTGTCTAAGTAATTCTGTTTATACTTGTTTTCTCAGAAGAAGACCTATCAATGTATCAAGTGTCAGATGGTTTTCTACAATGAATGGGATATTCAGGTTCATGTTGCAAATCACATGATTGGTGAGTGATGTCTAAAACTTATTACAAATGGATTTTTCTCCAACTTGTGTACATCTGTGCCTATATAATTAAACAGACTTAAAAATGAATTAATTATTTGACCATCAATGGCTTATCTAGACATGATTGATTTTTTTATTACTATTATTAGCCCTGATAAGACATTAGCACATTTTATTTTCTGCAAGGGCTAGTTTAGACTTCTGCAGAGGATTATGTATCTACTGCCAGTCAAAACACAGGTGATTAACAAATTAAACTTCTAATCATTTTTGCATTATTGAAAACTAACAGGAATAGTTAATGAACTGGATGTTAGCTTTCCATAGAGTTTTAGACAGGTTTTAATTTCAGAAGTTATTATGGTAATGGCACTGCTGTGTGTTGCTTAAGCATCTTTGTTTCAAAATCTAAAGTGGTGAGTTTTTGTTATAGGGAAACATAAATAATTTAAATTGCCATAAAATAGTTTTATATGTATAGTTTCAACAGCCTGGAAATAATCACGATCATAAAGATCATGTAAAGAATTCAGTAGTCATTTTTTATTCCCCCACCAAATTATCCATAGATTTTTATAAAAGTGGTTTTGGGAAAGATCTCTGGTCACTCCAGGACAATGTTTCTAAGATTCGCATTTATCACATGGGTTAGAGCTAAAAGGATAATTTTTTCATTTATTCATATTGTCCCATTATCCCTTAACTCCTTGGGGGTTACCGTCTATGTTTTTTAATTTGATAAGCACTTAGTAATAACACTAAGAGTTTTACCAGCCAATTAAACTTTATCAAGCAGATCTTTTCCCACTAATAAAATGACTATTGCTATTACTTTGTACTATTTTTGTTACTCATTTGTGTTTTTATGCTGTGAGAGTTTTTTATTTCATACTTACTTCCTGGTATTTTATAATACCATAAGTAATTATGGTATAATATTTAAAAAGTCTAACTAACCTCATGCTCTCCTATTATGAAACTCTGTAAAACAGGAAAGAAAATTCAACATTTTAGCTTCTGAACTTATTTTCAGGGGGAAACAAATTTTATTATACACTAATCAGTATTCTAAGACAGTTTTGTAGAAGGGTTGCTCCAATTGATCATTAAAACTGACCATAACAAAACTTGTAATGTTCTCATATGAATTAATGAAGATAAATTCAAAAGCATGTTGGAAAATTGATTAATAGTTTTTCAATAGGATTTGCTTTATTGTTTTCAAATGATGGGTCTTTAGTAGGATTATTGCTTATAAAAGACTAAGTGTTTAATTGTGCAAAATGGAACATATACATCACAGCTAAAATATTGATCACGTTATCTCTGCATTTTCTAGATGTAAGTACCAATATTATTAGTTATTTTCTTATACATTAAAGAATATACTCTTCAATGTAAAAGAATAACATTGACAGCTTTTCTGTGTGTTCAGCAATAATGGCAACACGTAAGAGAGGTTGAAAAAATGTGTTTTCTTGCAATTCTTTTCTGTTTTGGATTCTGAAAAATATCCTATATAAACTTTTGAAACTGCTTTTTTGGCAGGGGGTGGCAGGGTTAGGAAAAATGAATTCTTCTTGCCAAATGATAAATGTTAATATGTCCCATCTCTTTATTTCTTGGGTAGAGATTGCTGGTGGCAGTCTTTCATGATTCTACTGCATGCTGCAGTTTTCCATGGGCTTAAGTGAAAGCATTTCTTGGAAGTTTGCAGTTTATAGAAAATTCAGTGAAATTTTGTGGTCATGCTTCTGATTAGTTCTATTCAATGTATACTTATTTTTGTTTCTGGATTTATTATTTATCCTACTGCCCAGATGAACAAGTTGAATATATTTTCACTACAGTATTGATGTCCTTTTGCACAGGTAGGATCTGAACTGAATGTTGAACGTAAGAGGACTTTTCTGATTTTCCAATTTTAGTATCATTTTGCTCATAACAAGTATTGGTTTGTCCTGGCCCTTCTTTTTAAACTGCTTTATACCTTTTCTTTTTTTATTGATCTTATATTCCTCAAAAGATAAAATGAAAAAAATATCATTAGTGCCTTCCCAAGACTTTTTTCCCCTCTACCATGTGGCGGATTAATATGACACGCACCTCCTCCTGGGATCTAAGCATTTAACAACTCACCTTCCATCAGAGAGGCAAATTCAGTTCCATTTCACAGAGGGCCTAGTTATTTAATATTCATGCTATTTTAAATAATAAAATATGTAATTCTCCTGCACTGGAGGCCTAAACAAATGAATAGAATCCATTTAATTTTTTTTATCTGTTGACCATGCATCCAAGTCCTTAAATTGCATTTGTGTTGTTAATATCTAGAGAGAGAGAATGGGAAAAGGAAGGGTGTCACAAAGGCTAAGGTATCCTTTTTTTAAAATCCCAGTGTGGTACTTAGTCTTTCAAATGAGGCAAGCAGCATTATTTTGTTGGCTAAAATACCTCCACTGAGGGTAGGTATTTTTAGGTTGTGTATCTGTGTGTGTTTTTTGTCTAATCAAAAAATAATCTCAACTAGACATTTAGCAGGGGAAGAGGGATTAGAGACTATCTGAAAAGCCTCTTACTCTTTTTGTTAAGAGGGTATAAAACATTTTTACAGATTTTGTTTTACATTTCAATCAGTCTAGAGGAAGGATTATGTCACCTGATGGAAAACAAGATCTGCAGATGACCCAATGAGGTGTAACTTTAAATTCCTTCCTTAACCAAGTCATTTGCATTTGTTTCTATGTAGCACATATGTTTTAATGCAATTTCAATGTCAAGCAAACTCCACACTTCTTTCTGGATGTACTGGTCTCAGGCTACTGGCCAGGGACATTTGTGAAAGGAAAACCATCAATGTTTCTACCAGGTACATGCCGGGGGTGCTCTTAAGTGCTGTTTTGCAGCTAGGTGTGGACACACGGTCTGAGTTGCGGGAATAATTACTCAGTAATAATGCACTGGGGATTTGACTTATGTCTATTATGGAAAAAAGAAAACTCACTGTTCACCACATTTTGACAGTTTCAGTAAGAAATCAGACCAGTGACTATTTAGGGGCTTCTTTTCTTCTTTATACACACACAAAAAAGAGTTACAAAACATTTTGACAGCTTTCCTGGGGAAAAGATTTTCCTCTTTTAAGGTCTGTGCAGATGAGAAAATTTTTCTTATCTTCCTTTGTTCATTTCACATAGTTTACGTTGGCTTTTGACCTGAGAATACAAAATGAACCCATGATGTATTATGTTCTTTAATTCACTGTTCACCCTTCTCTTTTTATCAGCATAGCAAATATTTATTGTTATTTTTCCTCTTTGAGATTTCTGTTATTGTTGTTGTTGTTGTTATTATTATTATTATTATTATTATTATTATTGGGTATGGATTAACAGAAATAGAGATGAACCCAGAGAATTTAAATGTGTTTAACTCAGCAAAGGGATTGCCTCATATAAAATTACGACGCTCAACAGCAGAGAGTAAATTTGTAAGTGCTCTGAATAAAGGGCTGTTAGGCATGAGATAATATCAAGAGATGACATTGCCAAGTACTATTTATGAGAAGCTTAATTTTTTCACTCTGATAATTCTTGACCAATAATTACCAGCCTCTAATTATCTATTTTAGTTAGAAAGAAATTTCTATCACTATGGAGGCTGGCATTGCAACTAGTGCATAAATCCCCAAAGAGACAAATGTGTTCCAAACAGCCACAAACAACTGTCTCATGAAACACAGTGAGCAAATTGCAAGCGGCTGGTGGTAGACAACTAGCAGTACACTTCCCATCGAAGGCCAGTCAGCCCGACAAAGAAATGATCAAAGGGGAGAAATACCATTATCCTTGGGACTGGTAACTATAGTCATGGACTTTGGAGCACAAATAGTCAGGATATAGCTATGGCCCTTTCCATCTCTCCCCTTTCAAATTTCATGGGTGGAGAATACGAAGGGAATGCGTACAAACCACTGACCTAAGAATGATTTTTAAAAATATACTTAGAAATGGTTACTTCATAAGTTTTATTTTTTTTTTTCATATTTTTCATCTGATTAGAAAGACCAGTGTTGTAACGGCAAAATTGCATCTACGGTGTCAGAATGCCCAGTTTTGTGATGAGATAGGAAAATCCAGAAGTAGTCACCAATAAACACCTCCTACACAGATCAAGGGTGATGCTAAAGCATTTGGGGGAAGTAAATATATTTACTTCTTAAAAAAATGAAACTAGAAATTGGGACTGTAAACTATAGCTAACATGAAAACCCCAATGCAATGATACTGGCTACTTTTATTCATATCTTTAATACTCAGTGTTTGTAGATAAATATAATTTTTAAAAGACTATGAAAAGATTCAAGTCTTCAACAGCAATGTGAGAAGATATGGACCCTGTGTGTTATGCTGCATATAATACATGTCACTGATGTCAAGACAAAAAGAATGCATAAATCAGTTCTGAACAGTGTGGTGAGATTTTAGTCTGTTCTTGTGGCGAGTGACATTCATACATTCTGCAATTTGTTTGATGCCCAAGGTCATAAGTGGCATTCTTTTCCTTTCATTTCTTCAGTGGATGGTGTCCTATGTGACTAATCTTCATTATGGTTTCGTGACATTCAGTATCACTTCTGAAGCATTTCAGCTTGAGTGCTCTTGCTTTAGAATAGACTAAAGCCAATATTTTGAGATCTATAGTGGTTTTGGATTTTATATCTCTTAATGGGAAATATCCAAAAATATGGGTCTCTGCATAGGAAGATAAAGGGCTATGTTTCCATTCAGATTCTTTGCTTTCATTGGCTGTTTTTTAAAAAAAGAATAGAAAGGAATCTACAATAATGCCTATGTGTGTGGGGGGGTGTATATATAGATACATAATATACGTATGTGTGTATGATCTCCACACTATCCTAAGAAGCTCAAAATCATTAAGATTGTTCAAAGCCTTGATCTGCATCCATTCTAAATGAGAGGAGTATTGAATCTTTTTTTTTAAATAGCAACTTTATTTGATTGAATATTTATTTGA